GTAGTCGAGATAGCTGATCTTACCGTGTTCATACACGTAATTCCGCATCTTACTGAAAAACATCCCACCATGGTTCAGGTGGACTGTGAAATAGGCGGAGTTCTTTCCTGAAAAGAGAAAACATTATACAAGGCTAATCAGAACAAATATGGATATCACAATAGATGTTCCTACGTATTCATTACAACATTTTATCTTTATGGTCCATTTCATGCAATTTTCAAAAACTCTACGTATTGCGTTCACCACAAACAACGAAAACACAAAATCGATTATAGACAATGAGCTATAGTACTTCTTTGTAACAATCTCAACATTCAGGTATATGGGTTTCTCAAAAATACTACGTTTTCAAGATTTTTACTCTCTATAGCTGCCAACGATGACACCTGCAAAAACGTACCATAAACTGGTTTCCGTAGAGATCCCCTTAGATGGCACGCATGTCCAACATCTTCGTCATCGACTTCTCCAACTTCAGGCGAGTTCATTGTCCCTTTCGTTGCAAATCTTTCTTCTCTTCTTCCCGTTAGTCGTGCGTCAGAAATTCGAAAAACAAATAAAAAAGAAGATAAAAAGGTGTTTTAAGTGTTTGGACGATTTTACCTTCTTTCATTTTGATTAAAAGTGGTCAATTTTTTATTTGGGAAGTCAACTGACGAGCATTTGGACGGTTTCCATCCAAAACGACATTCACTGCAATGGATGTAAAGGTTAGGGATGACGGCTGCCACAAATAAAAGGTTTGGAGAAAGTCTGCAAGTATTTTTAAGGTTTGGGGCTTCTGCTGCAATTTTTCCTATTATTTATAAGAATTTTTTTACTTGTACATAAAAATGGTACATAAACGATCATCGAAAATAAATTGGAGGAAAAATATTGAATGAAAAATTTGTCTGCATTTTAACTTAACAAATGATAGAATGTCATATAAACGTTATATAGTCTCTCGTATAAACTTTGATCTACCCATTTGGGAGTAACTGAATAACAGAGAAAGAGCAAAGCGTGTAGGCCCATTTCTTGAACTACTACATCCACCTCTACTTTTGCTTCTACTAATTGAGACCCACACTACGCCCCCATTTGATTCTGATTTTTCACCCTAAAAAAGTAATTTTTTGACCATTACTTTCAATAGTCAGTCGTCATTTTTAATTCCTTCACTCACAGGTGGGATCCACTTTTCTCTCTAACGATCAAAAAATTGATTCTTATAATCACTATCGAACAGGCCGTAAATCTGTTCATATATCAACGGTAGCTAGCTAGGATGAGTTTGCTTTCTCCGAGTATGTGGAGTAGAAATGCGCAGGTCCCAGTGTTTAGAATCCGCCTACCTCTTTATTGGTGCCAAAAAGCATTAAAAAGGAAGAGAAAAAGCACAAATTTTCGTTTGACAATTTTGTCATTCTTTTTTACTATTTATTAATTTAGCCGCCTCAAGCTTATAAGTTATAGAATTAAGCTGATTTTACACCATGTTGCCCCTCATTTGAGTGGGCTCACCATAAATTAAAAAATGGTTGGCCCCCTATTGCGAGAGGGCTATACACCATGATGTACAAAGCATAGTGTACACCCAGCAATTCTCTCAATTGTAAGCCAACGGCTTGTATGTGTTATGTACTTAGAGGTTTAAATAAATTTGGCCTTGTTTGGTACTGATTAAAATTTTGAATTTAATTTAAATCAAAATCAATAATTAATTTTAATAACGTATTAATGGGATTCACAAATTTTCAATCACATATTTTATCAAATTTTATCAAAATCAAATAAAGAATTGATTTTAATGTCCACTTGATTAAAATTCTAAGTTAGAGTGAATAATATATTTTAATCATACATTTCAAAACATTCGTAACTTTTTAATCATACATTTTATCAAATTTTACCAAATTTTACTAAAAATCTAATTTTAATTTACTTCAATTAATTTTTAGTGTATTTTGATAAAAGTTGATAAAATCTATGATTGAAAATTGATAAAAATAAAAAAATAAAAAATTGAATCCAATTTTTATTTTTATTTTTATAATTTCATTGTAATATTACACTATATGATAAGTACCTCACTCTAAAATTTAAAAAGTTGCGCCGAAGTAATACAATTTTCTTTTATTAAAAGCTAGATGGTTAATGATTTCATTTTCACAAAAGCAATGTATAATTTCAATGAGGACATGATTCAGAGTAAGTGTCATGACGATATTATCCAATTTGATGTCTCTGTAGCAATTTCAAAAATGTTTAGTTAGGTTGAAGTAAAATACACAGTAGTTTGATGGATTGCATCGCTTAAAATTCTTGAGTGAATGCAGAATAAAAATGAAATTAGATTAATCATTATAACATCGACATTGCAAAACTTCAACGAAGAATGTTTTTAAGTGGTCGTTTTGTGTCGAGTATAGTAAATTTGGCTATGAAATCCCCTTCTAATATAGGGTAGAAAATCTAAATGATCATTTTACTTTCAACGTTGTTTATCGATCGTCATTATATTAAAATACTTCGGAATAATCAATTTACTTTCAGAGCTTTTCCGAGCAACCCAGTTTTGGCTTTGTTTAATTCCCATTTCCTCCAAAATACATTTTTTACTCTCTTCTTTTTAACCACACATTTTTCATTAAAATAATATTACATGTAAATAAAAAAAATGTTTATTATTTTTCAACCACACATTTCCAATCAATTTACTATTTTAAAATACATTTTTTCTTTAAAAATAGGGCTCAAACACTTGGTTAAAGTTGTTTTCCATTCGTCATTCCTAATTATTTGAGAAAAAAAATTAATTTTCAAATAAAAGGAGACAGAGTGAGAGATGACAAATGTAAAAAGTATAATGACTATTTCACAAGCAATTAAACAACGAAGGTACAACAGCCATTAAAATCTTTAACCCCTTTGATCCATCACTGTTATTATGAGACGGTTTGGACCAGATTTTTTCACCAAAAAAATTAATTTTTTGAACGTTATTTCACTATTTTAACCGTCATATTTGACTTCTTCTCTCATAGGTGGACCCCACTTTTCTCCTAACGGTCAAAAAATCAATTCTCAAAATTACTCTCAAACAGGCTCTATTATATAAAGATAAGATTTGAATTGATCATAATATATTGGAAAATGCTACAAAAATGGGAGGTTGACAGCCCCCCACGCCCGATCGAACCCCACCCATAGGAGGGGTCTCGTGTGAAAAAATGGGACCCCCTCCTGTTGGTGGGGTTCGGATTGCTGTAGCATTTTTGGGATATATTTTTCTAATTGAACGTACAAAGTTGAAAGAAATATTAGTTTTCGTTTGTCATCTTTTAAAATTTTAAATTATTTGCTATAGTACTATTCTTCATCACACAATAAAATATTTTACAAATAAAATAATAAAATTTCTTTACTTTTTAATCACATATTTTTCAAAAAATACTATTCAATAACTCATTATTTTCAAATAAATTCCATCAAACAAGTAGCTATATTCTTCACTATCGGCGGTCATTTTCATCCAAATTCAAAAGTTTTTTTAGTTTTTCAGTTGATTTTACTCCTTCCCTTCTTTCCTCTTCCCTTTGGCATGGTTGAATATTTGCTGTCAATAAAGTACAATAGTTATCTTTTTCTTCTTCTTCTTCTTCTTCTTCTTCTTCTTCTTATTATTATTATTATTATTATTATTATTATTATTATTATTATTCTTGCTCTTTTCATTGCTTTCATAAATTATCATCCAGTTAACAAATATATATAGCACTTTAAAAATAAAAAATAAAAATGTAACATCCTCCCTCGATTCACACCTTTTCAGCCATTTCCACAACTTTCATCCAAGTTTTCTGGTGCCTTTTGGTTGTGTTTAATTCAAAATTCGGTCGAACCCAGCTGTTTTTTCACGATTATCTATTATAAGATGGATTAGTTAAGTCAGAACATACTTGAAATCGAGTCGGTCAGATCAAGTTTTGTGTGTGACAACAAGAATAAAAATAAGAGTTACGCTATATTTACAAAGTTTGTTGACAAAATAATATTTACACCAATTATTTCAAAAATATATTTTTAAATCATTAGAAATCAATGACATGAATTTTACCAACACTTAGGGTGTGTTTGACAGAAGTGGAATTCCGTGAAAAATGGAATTGGAATTCCAACTTTCTATTTTTTGGATGTTTGATTAGCAAAAATTTTCTATGTTTTGGGTAGCAATTTTTTTTTTCATTTTTTTTTATGTTTTATTTTTTTTTTGACAATAGAAACAAATTTTAAAAATTATTGTAAAAAAATATTTCTCTTTAATTAACAATTTTCATGTAAAAAAAATTAAATGAACACCAAAAGATAAATAAATAATTTCATTAAAATTATTATCATTATTATTATTATTATTATTTTGCAATAGAAACAAATTTCATTTCCAATACTAGTAAAATTTTATTCCTTTAATTGACAATTTTTATGTAAAATAAAGCCAAATGAACACAAAAAATACTTTTATTTTAATATTTTTCACGTGAAAAATTATACCAATCAAATACAATAATTTACAATTCCTAGAAAAATAATTTTTAGACAATTCAATTTCCTGAAGTCATTTTTTTCTACCCAAATTTCATCTTTATAATCAAACATACCCTTATTTTATCAATCAAATTTCAATGCACAACTTGTACAAATAGCGTAATACTGAAAATGATGGTCCTCCGGAGCATAGCCTAGTGGTGCAAAGGATAGGAGTGAGGTTATCTCACGCTTTGCTGACAGTCGCAGTGTAGGAATTCTATTCCTAAGACATGGAATTGGATTCCTTGTAGTTGCAGCGTACAGGCAACTCTTATTCCCCGACCTACTACGGCACATTCAGCGATTTACCTCCCTCACAAAACTCAAGGAGCGGGACGGTAGAAGCCCTCAAGGTTGGACTTCAACCTTTTTTTGTAATACTGAAAATGATGATTTAATTTTTCTTTGCTGACAGCTTTTGACTTTTGTTGAGGTACTGTAAGACCTAATCCCTAGGCACTTTGAACCATGAACAGTAGGGATAATGAATTTTTTCAAAAACATACGCAGAGAGGAATTCTGAAGTGGGTTTTGAAGACAGTGCTGTAAAGTTGAATCTTTTTGGAATTTTTATGGCCATTTTGGATTCTTGAAGTGGGTTTGAAGATTTGTATGAGAAGTTGAGATATCTGTTGCTGATTCTTACGTAGATTCTGCATTGAGGGTGAGTCCTTTAACCCACTATTCATCAGTAAAAGACTCTGTTTTGTTGACTGAAGTTAGTAAATATTGTTAATACTATTTCTTTCTGTTAATGATGTTGTCAAAAAACATTGCTTCACTGGCAATTCAGAGTTAAGTCAATTGAATTTCTTACAACTTTCTTTACTAGAAAATCTGTGTTTGTGTCAAATATGTTATGAAATCGTTCAAAATCCTATATGGGTTTTGCTTGAATTTGTCTGAACTTTTTTGATGTGGTTCCAACCAGGCAAAAGTCTGAGTTCAAGTCACGTTTCGTGCTATTTACACAAAAATGAATCCATTGTGCACGTGGGGGCTCGTTGAAGGTCAAAATTTAAATTAAATAAATTTGTTCACTTTAACCCTTGGAGCTTTTTAACAAATTACTAGTTTAATAGAATTGGAAGAGCTCAACAGTTTGCCATTCGTAGCTAGTAATTTGAATAGTAGTACATGTGTTGTGTTATAATGGTAAAATCATGAATTTTTTGCTTTAAAATATTATGGGATTGAATATTTAAAACAATAATAAATAATTGCAAATGGGAAGATTCATGCTTCACGAATGATAAGAATTATTTAATTTGGATCCACAGAATAATCTTTCAAATTCAATTTTCTCAGTTACATAAAGGGAAGACAATAGTACTACAGAAAGGACAGAGGCATAGATAATAGTAATCTCTTGAGACATTGTTTACTTAGGTAGAATTACAAGAAAATTAGAAGGATAAATCTGTTCTGAGACATTGTTTACTTAGGTAGAATTACAAGAAAATTAGAAGGATAAATCTGTTCTGAGACATTGTTTACTTAGGTAGAATTACAAGAAAATTAGAAGGATAAATCTGTTCTGAGACATTGTTTACTTAGTCCAGCATTTCCCAAATTAGAAATCATTTTAGGTGGTTGCTGGGGCAGAGGGACAGGAGCTGTCATGTAAGGACCAAGCCTGTGCCCTAGACTTTAAGCCCTTGTTTGACTCATATTAAAATTATAATTCATTTTTCTCTCGTCTTATTCAATCATACATTCTCCAATAAAATAATATTACACATAATCCAGAAACCTTCTCTTTTTTTATTTTTTTTTGGTTACTACACATTCTTTTAAAAAATATATATATATATATACACACTATTCTAACTAATAAAATTTCAAATAATGAGGGCCAAACAAGGGCTAAGTCATATGTACTGTCCATGAGGGAGTAAAATAAGCACGGGCTCTCCCAAAGAGAACTATACGTATGAGGTAACGAGTTGGACACTTGCCGGAGTTGTAATGTTCAATTGGTACCATGATTATATTAAGTCTCTCAAGATGCACATGTTCTTCCAAAGCAGATAATAGTACATATGAGTTAACGGTTTCAGCACATGCCCTAGTCGTTACAACCCAGCAATATTTTTAAACTTTTCTAGATTTATAAAAAAAAATTCTTTTATATATACATAATACATATATATTTTGCTCCTCCAATATGTTTTCGCCCTCCTACATGAAAGTCATGGCTCCACCATCAGCTAGGTTGTTCGATTTATGATATCCACTTGAATAATCCATATGCATGCTATTCTCAAGCCAAGAGAATCTAAAAGTTGGTATAGATTCCATTATTGATGGTTCAGAAATTGAACTTCTTCAAATAATATGCCTCATTTTGTTTATATAATAGATTATGTCTGGTATATCTAACTAAATAATGTAATCTTGTCTTATTTTGAGGCTATAAACAATTATATAATGTGTTTGATGTTATCTATGATTGATTACTTCTAAAACAATTTTTGAATGTTTGAATATTAAATTGTGTGATATCACAGACATAAGGATTATTTTGACCAAAACAGTGCATGTTTTAGGAATATAATACATGATACTTGCCATCGAAAATGATACCTTATATGCATCTGTACTTTTTTATGTTTATGAAGTTATTTTAATGTCGCAATTTATTGTAAAAAAACACTGGAAATTATCGCTTGTTCAAAATTGTACTAGAATTCTACCTCAGATCTGCTGTTTCTTAGAAGAATTTGATGTCCATTTGTCAACTAATTCATATATTTTTTTGTGCGTCTCGTGAATGGCTTCTGGTAGCTTCTGTCAATGGAAGTTTGTTTATCATCAGCATGTTTGGCTAAGCTTAAAATAATCAACTCATTCATTTTTAACTTAGTTATTTACTTATAAGTGGACTTTTAAAGCTTGCAAAAACATGCTCTATCAGCTGATAGTACATACCTTATTCTCACAGTTCACTTGTTGCTTATCTGGAAAGTTTGTGGTAGTTGCAGAGGTATAAGGACTAACTAACCTTTTCTGTTGAATACAAATGCATATATTTATGCGATGAAACATTTGTTGATGCTACTTTGATTATAGCTGAAGTAGGCGACTAAAAATCAATATATATGTGTGCAAAATAAATTAATTGATTGCCGCCTGTATATAAGCTTTTTCATCTTCTGGTTTCAGTAATAACTTGTCCATTATTTGGCAAGACGAAACAATAGAGGAAAAGATGATGGAACATAAAAGGAACTCTGTCTCTCTTGATCAAAGTAGCCTCATGGGTTTGAAGAAAAAAATACAGAAGATTGATGCGCCTCTCTCTTCCAAGGTATTTTATTAAAAAATTTCTCTTTAATCCTTCTCTGTTTATGAACGATTTTCTGTTTACTTGTCTAACAATTTTTCAGACCTTAGGTATCTCCTAGAGTTCACATGTAACTTTCTGCACTAATATTCAACCCAAAGTAATTTTCTCATAATTCAATGCATGGCAATCATCGGTAGAAACTTCATATTCTTCATTGTTAAAATCATCTGAAGTGTATTCCATAATAGACCCTGGTATTTTCTTCTTTGCCCTTTTTTGATCTTAGTGATTTATATCTTTTAAAAGATATTGTGTGTCTTTGCCACACTGTCTTTGACGCGTTAACTTTTCTTGTCAACAGGAAAAGAAAGAGAAGGTCGGTGAACGAATTTCTGCTCTTCAACAACTTGTCTCACCTTATGGAAAGGTACCAATTGAAAATTTTCATTTTATGATTGCATGAAATCTTGATCTTATTTACAATGTATAAGTTTTCACATGATCTCTCATTAATACACTATGAGGTTGAATCCAAAAATATTTGTTATTAATCCATAGAGTTCTTTGAAGTGGATAGCAGTTGGAAAAAATCGACCCCATTCAATACATAAAACAACTCATCAGAACGTTGTTTACATGTTTCTAATTTAATTATTACGTTCTATTGCTGAACCCTTTTCTTTTTCTTTTTTGTTTTTTTATATATTCAACTGTAGACAGACACAGCGTCGGTTCTTCTGGAGGCAATGGAATACATTAGGTTCCTTCACGAGCAAGTTAAGGTATGGCATTTTCTTTATTTATTTCATCAGAAAGTGTTCATTAGGCTACTTCAAATTTTTGAATTTCAATAAACATGGAAGCCTCTTTGATTTCTTGGTCTGTAACCATGTTGAAGACAAAGTAAACCATACAATTCTTGTTTGGATGTTTGGACAATAATCTCAACCCGAAGTTCTTGGTGCTTTCAGGTGTTGAGTGCACCATACCTATCTAGTACGCCGACAACTAATACACAAGTGAGCATTAAACTGGTACACCATTCAATGTTTGGTTGGCTAACATTTCTTTTAGTCTCTGTCATTTCATCATATGCTTATCATGTTGGTTCCTATGTAATTTGAGCAGTAATTTATCTATAATTGGGCCCTCAAATTATGAGTCATAGTTATAGAAATACGATTCCTCATAATAACCTCAACTCAGCATGGGATAAATTAATGCCTTCCAAAATTTTATTTGTATTTTTTAATTTTCCAACGTTGTTGCACAATAGTAGAGCCTAATCACACTGTACACTTGTCCTCTTGACCGCAAATCGACCTTTGCCGTAAGGTCGACTGGAGTCTCTAACTTATATTGGATATATCATATTTGTATTAGGTCGTCCAAAGATTGCTAGGGAGGTTGTTTTATTTTACACTCTGAGTGAGAGACATGAGATCACTATTGGAATCCCTTCTTAACGTAGATGGATATCATGTCCATTGTTGCAGCTAGTTCTAATCCAATCGATTGCATAAAGACCAACTGAGATTGATAGTGATCTTTACGAGCCTAATGGAACTGAAACCAAACTAAGGAAGACCAAGTCAAATGGAAAATAAGTTCAATTTTATCATTCTTGGTACTGAACAACGAGAAATGAAGGAAACCCAATTTTCTTTTCTGTCATTTTGAAAGAGAAAGTGGAAATAGTTCTCACATTGAAAGTCAGTGTGCTTGGCTTGCATTTGTTTCTTTTATTGCTATAGTAAATAGGGACTAGAACTTAACTGTTGCACATCTGCGTGTATTTGTTGAAGTAATTGCTTATGAGTTGCTTTGAAAAGTTTATACATGATATATTTTTGTCCCTGTTGAGTAGTTTGAATCAAGTGCTTGTGTTTATCATTTCAAGGAAGTCGAGCAGCATAATCTTAAAAGCAAAGGCTTATGTCTTGTGCCAATTTCATTTACTGATGGAGTTGCCAGCAGCAATGGTGCAGATATTTGGGCTCCGATAAAGAGCAGTTCCCCTAATTCTAGAAGATCGATCTCAGACGATGTTTCAGTGATAACTTACAGTTGATGGATATTTCTGGGAAGTTAGGCAGAATGGTTTATAATAAATTATAAGATAGTGAAAATTTAAGACGCAGAAGCATGAGCTGATGATATTCCAGCAGGTTACTACACCAAATACTACTAATGATATAAGGTGCCAGTTGTTGTACATAAAACGAAGTTGTAAATTGACGAGTGACAGATGTGTGCTACGATCTTGAAGAAAATTATGTCCCTATCTAAATTTCCTTTGTCAATAATAGCGAGCAAGATTTATTTTTCTCTTATCAATACATATGAGAAGCTTTTTACCATAAGTCATCATCAGAATCTTTTTGTTTTCTATAATCTCAGATTCTGCCTATAAGATGGTATTTATCAGCTAAGGGATTATTCTATTGATGACTCAATTAGTAAATATATGAAGAATACTTTTCAAGTTTTACATTCTCCATTTTCTACTGTACAACTAAGAGAATGACCTCAAATACGCTCATTTTCGTCTTTTTATTTGTCATTTTCATGTTATCAATTCCAGTCACTTCATAATGCTGAATCAGATTTCAGCTACAGCGAGCAAAAGAAAGCGTTGGAGCTGTAGATTATTGCAATTACCTTCATTTTGATATATCATTATTGAACATTATATTATTATATAAAGGGGTCATTGTCCATACCAATATATTTGACAAATAATCAAAAACTAATCTAATGGTATGGATAGATTCTAATAAAACCTTTTAAAGCTCCTATACTTATGTTCAATTGTTCCAAATTCAATTTAATAAATATTTACCCACCCTACTAATAACACACAAAAAAGCAAATTGATGCATGAGGATCCGAGTCGAGTGACGCTGATCTATCAGATAGTTTGTTGATGGCGCTGAGATACCATGAGATGGCGGATAGGCGTAAAGATGAAAAATAAATGCAATCTTTCCTTAATTGGGGTAATTTTGACACGTCTTTAATAATTTGGTCATAACTTTGGCTACGGTTATCAGAATCGTTATTATGACCCAATCCGGAAAGCTCTCTTCGGCGCGCACGTCGTGGCCACCCAACTATGCTCGGTGGGCATCAATTTCGAGTCCAAAATCCACTATTTTCCTTTTCGAAATTTAATTTTTAGTTATTTTTTACTATTTATGGTAATATTTCGTTTCCCTTTTTCTAGACATTAGAGAATTCGGATTGAGCCAAATTTTTGGCAACTTACTTCTTTTATTTCATATTTTATTTTGGTGTGATTGCTAGGATTTTGCTATTTTTGATCATTTTTCGATAATTTCGTATTTTTCCAGCTATTTAACCCGGCTTGTGGGTTAATTTTTGTCATTCTTGATTATTAATAATATTGAGTGAAGTTTTCAGAGAATTCTCTTTGTTTTTGGCGTTTCTTTCTTCTTCTTTCTTGCGAGTCGTCTGTTGCAACTAGCCTATATGATAATCGCTATCCTATTCGTCGTCAGAAATTAACCTGATAAAATATGGTGTATATGGTGCATGTAAGATATGAGCTGCTAAACGAAATCAGATAGGACACAAGTCTATTAAATTGAATTTGGTGCATTTGGACGTTCGTATAGGGTTTTAAAAGGCTTTATTAAAATCTATCTAGACCGTTAGATCAATTTCCATCAAAGGTCATGATTATTTATTAAATGTCTTTGTCACATGTGTTTGGTATGAGAACCATCCCTTTATGTGCATAACTTGTAGTGCTTTCACCTTTATTCTCTACTTGTATTCTCTCTCTTCTACGTCACAGAATAAAAAAAATAAAAATTCAATGAACCAAAAGAATGTCACAAACAAAGAGAACGAAAGAAAGAGAATGAGGCGCTCTCTAATAAAAAATTACTGACAATAAAAAGATTCAGCTAATATACAAAATAATTGTGTTGATAAAAAAGCTTTAGCTAATACACAACTTAAGGATAAAATAGAGTATTGCTTATTTCTCTGAAATGAACCATACTTATAGTTTCAATTCCTTTGTACAGATGGTGAAGATTAATCCAATATTATGGTGGAGAGTATATTTTAATCTCTTCGGCCTAAACCATTCTAGATATCTATTTAAAATATTAGGGTTAGACTCCCCAGTCTTTCATATGGTGTGGTTATGGGTTTCTAACCTTCAAAATTAAGGTTTAGATTTTCAACTTGTTTAATATGTGAATGAGTCCCCACGGGATGAAAACTACGCATATAGACTTTAAAATCGCAAACAATTTCATGTGATTTAAAGTAAGAACAACATGATTTTAAGTGTTTTACGTTTTTTATCCAACTTTAAAAATCACATGAAAGTCCCTTGCAATTTTAAAGTCTATATTGACAGTTTACATTACGTAGGGAACTAGGTTTATAGATTTATATAAGTTGGAGATCTAGAACCTTATTTTTGAAGATTGGAAACCCATATAATCACACTACGTGAAAGGTTGGACATTGATTGTTTTCATTATACACAAATCTACTTGAATAAGTTGGAGACGTTGAATGTCACTTTTGAAGACTGGGGATCTATAATCACACCGAGTGAAAGGTTGCAGAGTCCACCTCTAATTTTCTCCATGTCTAAACATCGTAGAAATGTTGTGTCCACAATATTCTATTATTTTCAGAAACCAAAGTCGTTCTTGAAGTATAAAATCAAAAACAGCAGAATATAAGGGTTCAAACTTTTTTTCCTTCAGATTTTCAATCAAGAACATGAGTCGGAATTTTACTCACATGTATTATATGAATCCAAATAAAGCGGAAAATCGAATTACCTCTCATTCAGGCTCTCTTCGACTCTCCAAGCAAGTCAACCAAGAACACCATCTGTTAACACAGTCCACATTAAATTCTTTGAACGATTCAATCGCAAGATCAAATTTATAGCTTCCAACTAATCGATCTCCTCCGTATTCTCCAAGAGAAACTATGCTAGTAAGTGGTTGAACACTATTAAGCTAGATCAATGGTCCGTATGTTGGAGCAAAATATTCAGTACACCTTGTTGTGGTTATCCCGCCTCGATGGATAGAGGGTTAGCATAAATAACCTATATATAACTTATACATGCACTAGAACCGTACTAATTGTTGGAATTTTGCTGGAAATTTTGTATTATTTGATGAATGGAAAATTAAGCCAAATTTAAATCATTTAAATACGTGAATTATTGGAAAAGTGCGTAGAATATTATGAAATATTCTAGAAATTATTTGGCTGAAAATGTGTCTTTCTATATGAAAAATTATGACTTTTGGCATTATCATTTTGCAAAAGACGTGTCTTTTTAAATATAGAGACTAATTCCAATGGTTGTGTCTTTTCCATAGATTGTGTCTTTTGAGACAAAAATTTTCAATATTTATATATTGACCCCATATGTTTGGATTTATTTATTTGAAAACTTCGTTCCATTCCATATTTTACACTTTGCCATACATAAAATACTTCGTAGAAATAATTATGTTTTGCATCAAAGTCATGTTTATAATAGAGAAGGAATTTCGTTCAAGTTCGCTAGTCGAAATCATTTGAAGTGCTCTTATGGCTTGACGTGATCGTTGTATCTTGGGAGATGATTGTTGAAAAATCGTTAGAACCGATGCGGGGGAAATTCATCTTAAGGACGAAGTTTCAAACACTTGCCTCGACCAAATATAATCACTTGCATCTTTTTTGCTTCATTTTTTGGTTTTTCTTAATTATGGTTTGATTTCAGAAACTAATTAACATTATTTACATGTTTATTCTGCGAGGTTTGATTCAAAAAATAACTTGCTTTCGTTCAAGAATCGAAAAAGATGAATCCATATTCATGCATTTGAATTCAGTAACTATTATTGTTTTACTTCTCAAATTCTATTTCGCTAAGTCGAAATTACGTTTTGATTTCATGCAAGTAAACGGTATGCTTTTGTGAATATAATACGCACATAATCAGTGTATTCCTCAACAATTTTAAGATGAATTTTGTTTCCGTGCATTTATATTTTTCATTATTCTGTTTGCATGAACAAAGTATTAAATGGATTGGATGATAAAATCTGATTGCATAAACTCGACACCGATTTATGTTTTATGCTCGGTAGGGTTCTTGCAGCTCTTTAAAAATAATAATAATAATAATAAAATAAAAACCGATGCATACATGTGAAACTATTATGTTATTATATGAATTGTATCTTAAGTGTCCATGTCATCCATTTGTTTAGTATATGATGAAAGTGAAGTATTAGTTATTGCACATGGTTGCAATTGTTAATCAATATATATGGCTGTCAATACGTGTATTTCCATAAATTAGTCAAGGACTATGAAGTTGGTTTATTTTGAAAAAGTGCATGTGGTTTTTAAGGCAATTTATCAAATGATGACTCTTTATTTTCTAAATGCATTTTCAAATCCAATTTCGTAATCTATCATCAACTTGATTATCCTATCAAATAATATGACATTTATATTTATTTAAATATGATATATATATGTTGGTCATTGGTATAATTCCAATGTTACTGAAATAGATACCAACTAATTGGTGAAAGTATATGAACTTTCATGACTATTCTTTTATTGGAATATGAAATATGATATGGTAAATTAGTTGGTTAAATTTTCATATCTTGTTGAAATTATATTAACTTTGATTAATGTTGGTAGCCTCATTTAATCCTATGGAATTAAGTGAGATGACTTTTATGCCAGTTATATTTGCATAAAGTATGACAAATTATGATTTGTTCTAGTGAAAATTGTTGCGAAAATATTAAGACATGAAAATACTTTGCGGAGCATAAACTGTGCCTAAAGTTGGCAATGGTACTGAACTTCTTTTAAATCTGGAAAAGTTTGAATGTGATGATTTAGTTAAATTTCTGACTTCAATAAAATTAAATTGGATGATTTGTGCAAAATTATATTTGCATATGATTATGATAAAATGTAATTTGTCCTAATTTGATTACTTCGAATTGGTGAAAAATTATGTAGAATATTATGAAATATTCTATGATCAATTTAGATGAAAATGTGCATCCTTTCATATGAAAAATCATAACTTTTGATATTATTATTTTTCAACGGATATGTCTCTTCATAGAGATTATTTCAAGAGGTGTGTCCTTTTATAAGGTTGTATCTCTTGAAAACACAACTTTTCAACTTATGGTTGATTCGTTCGTTTAAGTTTGAATATGTTGAATAAGATGAATATGTACCTTATTGTTTGACATGAAATGAAACTATCATGTAAAATGTCACAATGTGATAAGAGAAGTTGCATTTTTTTTTAATCAAGATGCTTAGCCTTCTTCACTGTTGAAATTGACTTCAATCGTGAGACCAATTAAAATTGGTTTATACTTGGAAAACACAGTTGGTCTATATAATGGC